GATCGACGCGTCCGTGCGCAGCAGCTGTTGGAGCTACGGGTTCAAAAACCCAATGAAAGCGTTACTATGTTTGCTGAAGATATGACTCGTCTTTTTCGTCGAGCTGACCCGAACATGAGTGAAGATAGGAAGTTGACCTACCTCATGCGCGGCGTTAAGGAGCAACTTTTCGCCGGGCTACTGTGCCACCCTCCAAGTGCCGTAGTTGACTTCATCAAGGAGGCTACGGCTATCGAGCGGGCGCTCCATCAACGATGCAGGAAGTATCATCGAATGTCTAGCAGCGCCCCAATCAATGCTGCCGCCATACCTGAGGATCAAAGCTCCCTGCGAGACCTCATTAGGGAGATAGTTCGCGAAGAACTGCAAAAGTTCCGAAATCCAGTTGCTCAAACCCCCGTTGCGTCCGTCGCTGAACTGGTACGCGACGAAATCCGCCACGCATTTTCTACCGCTGGTCCTGGTGACGAGCACCGTCCCATGAGCTATGCCGATGCTCTGCGACGTTCACCATCTGGTACATCGCCGCCATATCACCCAGTACCGACGGCCCATACGTCACCACGGCAAGAGCAGACCCTGAGCCGACCGCCAAGCCAACCGACGTACCACCAGGCGTCCACAGCAGCACCATGGACATCGTCGCAAAAAGGGAGGTTCAAACGTCCACCCCTCCGAAGAACAGACGCATGGCGCACAATCGATCGACGTCCACTATGCTTTAACTGCGGAGGTGCAGGTCATATTGCCCGTCATTGCTGGCACCGCAGTGATCCGTTCCGCCCTCTTCGAACATGGTCTGACGATCGACGTGCGAACGAAGAATACATACCACGCCGGGAGAACGCCTCTTTCCATGGAGCCCGTTCTCACTTTTACGAATACCGTACTTCTGACGAGGAGGCAATACCTACCCGCCAGCCAGGTTTGGGACGTCGATCCCGCTCTCCTTCTCCTGCTCATTCACCTTCGTCACACTGACGTACCTCCACGGACCTTAACGCAAGAAGGTCACCCAGCTCGCGACGGGGAAACTGAGGGCGGCGACCTCCGGGGGTAAGGTTGCAGGCCATGAAGATGACGACGACAAGCCCCCATTACACGACGCTGTAAATCCGACAAGGCGTGAGAGCGACGACATTGTCACCGCTGACCTGAGTGTTTTTCTTGACGGCCAGAAAGTGACAGCCTTGGTCGACACCGGTGCCGACTTTTCTATCCTCAGTCAGGACCTCGCCATCCGCCTCAAGAAAGTGAAGACACCGTGGACAGGCCCTCAGATAAGGACGGCAGGTGGTCAGTTATTGATGCCCTCTGGAAGATGTACAGCGAGAATTGACATAGGAGGTTCTTCTTTCGTTGCGTCGTTCGTCGTTCTCGCCGCATGCTGCAAGGATCTAATTATTGGTATGGACTTCTTACGAGAGTACGGCGCCATCATCAATATCCCAGACAGTTTGATTACATTCCGCAACAGTTCGGGCGCACCTGATTGTACACAGGCACGACCAAACCAATTGCGTCTAACTGATGACGATGTGGTTCTCCCTCCTCGGTCATGCACGCTTGTTTCTGTGGCAGCCGCTGTCCAGTTTGACGGCGAAGGAGTAGCAGACCGAATAACCTCGCTCCTTTTCACAGACGGCATTTCCGTCGCAAGAGGTATCGTCAGTGTCGCCGCTGGACGCACGGACTTGCTTCTGACAAATTTTAGTGATGAGCGCCGGCACCTTCCAAAAGGCATGGCCGTCGCTTACTTCGACGATATCACAGACGCAGAAGGCTGCTTGGCAGTAGTCGACGAGACGCCAGAACTTGATTCGACACCAGTCCTTGACGTTAGCACTGCTTTGCCTAAGAACGAGCGAAAGAGGCTTCTTGAGCTACTGGCCGAATTCAAAGACTGCTTTTCGACAACATCAAGAGTTGGCCGCACGCCTCTCACCAAGCATCGAATAATTACCGAGGACATGGCGAGACCAATTCACCAAAACCCCTATCGCGTGGCTGCAAAGGAACGCGAAGTGATACAAGAGCAAGTCGACAAAATGCTAGAAGATGACGTCATTCAGCCCTCAAAAAGCCCCTGGGCGTCACCTGTAGTCCTCGTTAAAAAAAAGATGGCAGCCTGCGCTTCTGTGTAGATTACCGAAAACTCAATCAGGTGACAAAGAGAGATGTGTATCCACTTCCTCGTATAGATGACTCTCTCGACAGACTTCGACATGGTCGTTACTTTTCATCGATGGACCTAAGGAGTGGGTATTGGCAAATCGAGGTAGACCCGAGAGACCGCGAGAAGACTGCTTTTGTGACACCAGATGGCTTATATGAATTTAAAGTCTTGCCCTTTGGTTTATGTTCAGCGCCTGCTACCTTTCAAAGACTTATGGATACCGTACTTTCTGGGTTGAAGTGGAAAACCTGCTTGGTCTACCTGGATGATGTCGTAGTTTTCGCCGCAACGTTTGACCAGCACCTTAAAAGACTTGAGGCAGTTTTACAAGCCATACGGTCTGCGGGCTTGACGTTGAAGCCTGAAAAGTGCCACTTTTGCTATGAAGAGCTGCAATTTCTTGACCACGTTGTCAGTCACGCAGGCGTTCGTCCTGATCCTGAAAAGATCGCAGCTGTTGCACAGTTCCCGGTGCCGACTGATAAGAAGGCTGTCCGACGATTCCTCGGACTACGTGCGTATTATAGGCGATTCATCGCAGACTTTGCACGCATCGCATCACCATTGACCCGCCTCACGAGAGAAGACATTGCTTTCCAATGGAGCAACGAAGAGGAAGCTGCTTTTAAGAACCTCCGCCAGCGACTACAGACGCCTCCAGTGCTTGCCCACTTTGATGAGAAAGCCCCAACGATGCTACACACTGATGCCAGCAATATTGGTTTGGGAGCTGTGCTTGTGCAGCTGCAAGAGGGCACAGAAAGAGTAATCGCCTATGCAAGCCGAACACTAACACGCGCCGAGACCAATTACTCCACGACTGAGAAGGAATGCCTCGCCGTGGTATGGGCGGTCACAAAATTTCGTCCGTATTTATACGGCCGCCCTTTCAAAGTCATCAGGGACCACCACTCGCTGTGTTGGTTGACAAATCTTAAAGATCCTACCGGGAGATTAGCGCGTTGGAGTCTCAGGCTGCAGGAGTACGACATGACTGTCATACACAAGTCAGGAAAGCGCCACATGGACGCCGACTGTCTATCCCACTCACCCATTGAATCGGCAACTCTATCCGATGAGGAGGAAACAGCATTTCTCAGCGTGCTTGACTCAACCGCTATTGCACAGCAACAACGTGGCGACCCTGAGTTACTTGCCCTAATTAATTACCTGGAGGGACGATCTCAGAAGGCACCAACTGTTTTTGTAAGAGCGCTGTCATCATTTTGCTTACGGAGTGGAGCACTGTACAAAAGAAACTTCTCTTCGACAGGATCTGCGTATTTGCTCGTCATCCCAGCAGCCTTTCGCTCCGAAGTACTCGAAGCATGCCACAACGAGGTGACTTCAGGCCACTTAGGTTACACAAGAACGTTGGCCAGAGTACGGCAGCGCTACTTCTGGCCAAGACTGACCATAGCCGTAAAACACCATGTTCGTACTTGCCTCGACTGCCAGCGACGGAAGTCACCGCCGACTAAACCAGCTGGCCTCCTGCAGCCCGTGCAGGTCCCAAGAACACCATTCGACCAGATTGGCATGGATATTTTGGGCCCACTTCCTACTTCTACTGCTGGGAACCGCTGGGTTATTGTCGCGACTGATTACCTTACCCGTTATGCTGAAACAAAGGCTATCCAGAGAGGTACAGCAGCGGAGGTGGCACAATTTTTCATTGAGAACGTTGTCCTGCGGCATGGTGCACCAAGTGTCGTAATCACAGACAGAGGAACCGCATTTACGGCAGCTCTTTTGGAACAAGTCCTCATGCTGAGTGGCACAACCCATCGTAAGACCACCGCCTACCACCCGCAAACGAACGGGCTTACAGAGCGTCTGAACAAAACAATTGAAGACATGCTTTCTATGTACGTAGACGTCGAACACAAAAATTGGGACGAAATCTTGCCATATATCACATTTGCATACAACACTGCCAAGCAAGAAACAACCCAGATGACCCCGTTCAGCCTAATTCACGGAAGGGAAGTACGAACCATGTTAGATGCGATGCTAGCGCACGAATGCGACGACATCGAACCGGACGCCAAGATGTTTACAGAACGAGCGGAAGAAGCAAGACAACTAGCACGCCTGCGAATCCAGCAACAACAAGAGTACGACGCGAGCCGCGACAATTCTCGCCGCAGAACAGTCGTCTACCAGACCGGCGACAGAGTATGGGTTTGGACGCCATACGGAAACGAGGACTCTCTGAAAAGCTACTAAGGAGATACTTTGGGCCATATCTAGTACTGCGACGACTGAGTGATGTTACCTACGAAGTCGTCCCCGACAGTTCACATAGTACGAGACTTCGCCAGCACCGTCCTGTTCACGTTGTGCGCATGAAGCCTTATGAAAGGTAGTGACTGCGCAAGACACTTCTTAAAGAACAGAAAAAAAAAACTGCACTACTGGTTTAGCATCGGGGCGATGCTCATTAAGAGGGGGGGGCAAATGACGCGTGTGTACTGGTGGACCAAAACTACGATAAGGGTATTTGGCGGACACCAGGTAGTGGAGCTCTGGCTGATTGAAGATAAAGAAGGCGATCTTGCTGTTTGGCTGCTGAGAGTCCCTGTGTCAACGTTTATCTGCCTTTGGTTCACGCTGTACCGTGACAATATAAAGAGCATCTCAATGAAAATCAAACCATGTCTAAACCTTGGTGCAACCGTTTTTAATGTGAATAGACTGTGAAAATTTCAATGGCAACCGTGTCCAGTGATCATAGAGATTGTAAATGATGTGGTCAAAGTTAGGCATCCGGAAAAATGAAGAACAATTAGCCCAGATGCCTAGTCCAAGTCAAAAATATTACCTGATGCATTGCAGCATGGCAGCTGGAGTGATAGCCTTAGAAACATCCACCACAGCTTGTGCAGATGGTGAAAGTCGTCCTCGATGATCAAGCACTTCATCTTGCTCTACACCAACAGCTGAAAAAGCTGGCAAGTGCACAGTAGGCCGTGAACCAAGCCACGAGTCGACACTGCTTGTGCTAGCCTCCGAATTCATTTCACAGGTGGTTTGGTGATGAACAGTGCCCGAGTTCGCCGTTGTCTCACTGCTTTGAGACGTTGTCTGAAGTGAGGCACTCAGTGATGCACAACTACCTACCACATCTGTGTCTGCACTAGGAGCCTGCTCTGCATCTATGTTGCAACTTCCTTGGGAAACCTCCACAGCACTGACCTGAAGGCAAGAAATAGTGATGGTGATCACTCAATGGCAACATATACAGTAAAAAAAAATGATATTATGTTGACTGTAAAATTCTACTGCAAAATTTTGTATACTGGCACAGGCAACTGACAAGCAGAAAGTATTTATCTTTGTCTATTTCCTGTGTCCGTGTTAAAATTGTTTGTGTTCAACATGGTGGGCCAACTAGCCCAGCAGTCAGAGGTGAAGATCAGTTAAAACAATTAGTACATGTCATAGTCCTTTACACTGTGCCAAAAAATATCCTTCCAGACAAAAATTAGTAAATACTATGCGGATTGTTATGCCTGAGAGTCCAAACCAAACTTCATTGCTTCTGCAACATATTCAAGCTGATATCGATAGACTGGCTGTTTCAACCAGCATCAAAACCAGTGAGCAAGCCAGGCTCATGCAATCAACCCCATCTCTTGCGGTACGTCTTACGCAACACACAGCAAGCCCCCCTCAACCACAGGTTCGATTTCAGCCAGCGACTAGCGGCAGTTCCTGATTGAAAGCCTTGATTTGCTGGCTGATGCAAGAGATCCCCAGGGCCTATAAAAGGACCAAGTGGCGCGATATACACTGAGACAGGTTTACATAAGTTTCGTTGATGTACAATGTCCAAGTATTCTTGTGGGGGTGTTCAGTTTCTGATACCCCTGTCTCACGGGCACTTGCAAACTTTATTCAACTTCTTTTTACGTTGAGAGAGATGCCCAGCAAGACACATGTTCTTCCTTTAGCCAAGGAAGTTACACGAAGGCTTAAACCGAGGCAGTTTGGCAATCTCCATTAGCGATAGAATGTCTCATCACCAATAACCTTTAGTTGGGAAAAAACTCCAAACACAATAGCACTGCATGTAGTACAATAAACACTTTATAAATAATAAAGTTCAAATCTCAAAAGCAAAATACTGTGAAATTATTGAAATTATCTGTCAGTTTTTACAGGCATTTCCCTAGCCCTACTATTATTTATTCATGTTAAAAAACATTTTTTTAGGAAGTAAATAAGATGATTGTTGAAGTACAATTCAAAATCTGCAGTACGTTTCCTTTGGCATGATTAAAATGTGTATCAGGCAAGGTTGTTTGCCCTCATTGAAACAAGCTAGAGTCTACATGCACGAAATTTAGTCTACATAAGTACGGCCTAGAATTGCCTTGTACAGCAGTGGTTACCTTATCAAAGCTACCGATGTCAGAAATAGGCACTTGAAACTTCACTCATGCGGAGCTAGTTGGGCCAAACTAAGATCAATGACCAAAGTAAGCAAGTACATTAAGTCCCAAGTGCTCGATAGTACAGTATTTTGACAAATACAGAATCAAACAATGAAACTCACCATGCTGGTGTCACTGGAGCTACGGCCAGCCAGTGGGCTACACTCACTGTTTGGGTCAATAGCAGAGAAGAGCTCACGAAATGCTTGGCAGGCTGCGGCCAAGAACCAGCGGTGGCCAGGCAGACTTTCTTTGCCCACAAAGAAGAGCACATCCGTAAATACTTGATCCTGAAACAGTGCTTGTATATGCTCCAGGAACTGACTGGCTGGTACTGACACTACAGGTGGCACAGGCTTGGGTGGACAGAAAGGCACCTACACGGGATGAAACATAAATGCAACAGCATGATACAGTGAACGATTCAGCATCAAAGTAAACACGGCAAAATAAGTTGCCATGCTTAACTCAGTGCATATGGCAACTTATAAGCTGCCTCAGACACTCAGTTAAGTGAGCTCACTAGATATACAGTCAATGCTCATTATAACAAACCTCGGATTAACAATTTTTTTCAGATGAATGACTTTTTCAAAAATCCCCCTCCAAATGTCCCTTAGTTTGATGATACTACGAATTTCAGAATACAGAATGTTTCAGAATAACATAATCAATTTTATCATCCTAATATCTCCACAACACTTGAAAACACACAATAATACTTAGAAGAGAATACAATAATTAATACAATGATACCTAGAGGAGAATATAGTGTCTACATGGGCTCCTTCAGCGGTGCCTGTACCCCCATGGGAATTATCTGCTTCGAATGAATTACATTCTTGAGATTCGCAAGGCTTATTTGTCAAGTTTTAAAAAAAGTGATATGAAATTATATCCAATTAAAACTTGCTCCTTTCTTTTGTACATAAACATTATTGAAAAAAGTTTCTGTGACCCAGTGGTAGAAGTGAAACTTGGATAAATTTAACTACCTGGTATGCATCTCTCTGCAAATTGCATTCCAGATGTGGCATCAAGATTTAATGAATTTTTTTACAACACTTGAAAACAAGCATGCTTGTTTTCCCCTCAAAAGTATGTATAATCTATTTATGGAAATACATAACAGTATGGTATTAAGTGAGAAACACCGGTGGGATGCCAGGTGCGTTTGTTCAAGTGGTCTGCCCCCAACGCACTTTTCGTTTTCTAGTGAAGTCGAGTCAGAGGAGCACGACAGGTGCATCTACTAAGCTTCGCTGTTAATTTCGGTCAATTTGAACGAGCTTTGGCAAGACGCGCTTATGAAAAAACGTTAACTCGATGCAATATCCTGCACTGGTGCAGGACGCTACATCTATCCACAGCGGTGAATGGACAACGCTTTGTTTCAACTATCAAATATGACTTGTAAACCTCTAATGTGACAGAAAATCAAAAGATTTAGTGGCCTTCAGTCTCTTTGAACAGAAAAGGCATTGCTTCTTTGCTTTTCACCGCACCCCACTATCCACACTGCCCAAAGAACAAAACTGAAACTGTAGAAAAAGATCCGTAGGCAGCTCACTAGGCAATACAATCCAATCCAAAGCCTGTACTTTCCATCATTCCCATGGGGGTACAATGATTGCAGAGGCAGATTACTCTCTAGGTATAATGTATAAAGCTCTATGCTTCAAAATAACGAATAGTGATTTTATAAAGTTGCTCGCGGCTGTGAAAACAAAGCCAGGTCAGTACCTGTCACTATCATCATCATCTGAATGCCCACATATTTCTCTTCAGGCCTTCCCTATTCAAATCCTCCCATCCCCTGCGCTTGTTTTTCTCGTCTGGTTTCGGTGTTTTGCCGTGTTACCTTTTGTTTTGTTTGGCAGCTTTACCTGTGCGCTTGTTACATGGCTGCTTTCGCGCCTTTGGATTAGCGCTATGCTTTCACGGTGATCTTTGTAAGCAGCACGAAAGAAGTTCGGCACGAGGGAAAATGCGATGCGAGTGACCTATATGGGATGAAGACGCCGATGATTCACCTAGGGTTGCCACCGTTTCTTGAACAAAAAGTGGCCCTTCATCGATGGGAGGGGATGAGTTACCAGGAGATGAAATTTGTGTTCAACAATAAACACCAAGTCAGATCTTTGGCATGTGCCATTATATGTAACATTGCTTTCCTCAAGTCAAATAGACCTGATGTACAAATGAAAATGGCACACTGGGCTAACCTACTAGTCCAATTGCCGGCATAAAATTACCCATGATTAGAACGACACTTCATTTGCTGCTATGAAAAATGACAGCGAGTGTGGACCAGCAAATGGCCTGCTGTCTAAAAAACCGGCTGAACCGGTCTAAACCTGGACAGGTGGCAACCCTAGATTCACCCATGCATGCTTCACTAACATTTTAACATTATGCACAGTGTGATGCTAAAGTATGCACGTCAGCTTAGCTGATGAGCGATGAGATCCACATTATTTGTCGTGATAAAAAAAACGCTGAAAAGAACGAAGACGTCATTTAAACATTGCATAAAAATCTGTATCTAACGCGGATGCTTCGAAGTGTTTAAGAAGGAGGCTTTCGCTTAAGAGTTTGTCTTGCAGCAGTCCAGCTGCACCAATCAGGCGAAGATCGCACTTTTCTTCAAATAAACATGTGCTGCTTTCGTATTATCTCATGTGTTTGTTTTTTCGTGCTTATTAGTAGAGCACAACGTGATCACTAATGCACAGGTAGGCGACTCACGTGGTTGTGTTTACGATTTTTGTGCAAATTTTCAAAATAAAGAATAACTTTTAGCGGTCCCGTGAGATTAGTTGTATCGAGATATATCACTGTATATGACTTCTCCATCGAAAACCACTGGCCCTCAGTAACTCAAGTTTTCCATAAAGAAGTAAAGCTTAAAGCTATACTTTGATTCATTACTTTCTGTTTGGTCCAAAATAGAAATGAATTATCAGTGCTGACACACACAAAAAAATGCTGAACTTGTGAGAACACAACAGCACCATCATCTCTCAATGTAACAGTGAAAATACACCATGTTTCAACCCACCATTGGCAGTATGATCATTTAATTCTTGCGGTAAGATGGTGTGATGATTGTTCACAGAGCAGCAGGGTGCGAAAGGCTTAAGGAACAGACAGCTGTGCATAGGACACCATTTGCAGCTCTGGCCACTCAGCATGCATCATCACAGAAACCCAGTGAGGGCCAAGGGGATGCGAGTCAACTAATATAATTGAAATTTGCCTGCTGAACGAGCAAAGTTAAGCAAACAATGCAATGGCAGGTGGTTCAAGTACCGTAATTACTCTAATCTAACGCACACCTTTTTTCCGGTTAAGCGAGTTCATAAATCGCATGCGCGTTAGAATCGAGTAAGAACAAAAAAATTACGGTCAATCTATTGCCATCGCAAATCCAAAATGGCCGCCCCCTACGTGCGTCGGCATGATGCGTCGGCTATTTCTGCCTATGTGTTTACCATGTGCGGCACTTCGTACGTGTGCTGAGGAGTTCGTCATCTAGTAGTGCATTAGCATCGACGACTTGGAAGGGCCGACTCCAAAAACTCGAGTGCACCACGATGCCGCTTTTAAAAGAAAAGTCATCGCGTGTGCAGAAACGGACGGAAATCGGGCCGCATCGCGGTCCTTCTCGAAACGTGCGTGCGGGACCGGCGGAAACAAAAGCAGAAGATTGTCGACAGCAAAGCTTCACGCAAAGGCTTCAGTGAACCACAGCAGGGTCGGTTTCCACAAATTGAAGAGCTGCTCCGCGAGTATGTGCTTGAGGAGCGAGTGGCACAGCGGCCCATGACGACAGAACTGCTCCAAGTGCGGGCTATGCAATTAGTCTTTGAAAAAAGTCTAATGCGGAGCCTGTTTAAAGCGAGAAGGTGCTGGCTAATTAACTATATGAAGAGGAAAGGCTCTTCCCTCCGAAGGGGAACATGCATATGCGAAAATTTTTGCGTAGAAGTACGATGAAAAGCTTTACAGTTTTCAGAGGTTCGTCCTAAACTTGCGGCGCAACAACGGCTACCTGCTTGGGCAAATCTGGAATGCCGATCAGACGCCTCTTTACTTCGACATGCCTGGCACCACAACTGTCGAGAAGAAGGGGGCGAAGCAAGTTCGCGTGCTGACATCGGTCCACGGTAAAACTACAGTGACGGCAATGCTCTGTTACACGTCAGATGGGCACAAGCTTCGCCCGTACCTCATATTTAAATGGAAGACAATCCCGAAAGGAATCGTTTTTTCGAGTGGTGTGATCGTTTTTTCGAGTGGTGTGGCCAGCAAAAAAAAATGGGTGCGCGTTGCAATCGATGTCTTACGTTTTTTTTTTTTTTCGCGGTGGAAATCGGGTGCGCGTTACAATCGAGGGCGCGGTAGAATCGAGTAAATACGGTAAGTGACAACACAGCAGATGGGAATGGTTTTCAATTGCACGTTGTGGCAACTAACAAAGGGACAGTCACCTCATGAAGAAGAGGTTGAATTGGCCTCAATGTGTTGTGTTCTCATTCAAACTCACAGCTAATCTGGAGAGCTATTCTCGCGGTGTTCGATCCTTGGACATGTCCGATTTGCCGGAGCACTGTACTTCAGTTACTAAAAAAAAAAGAACGGTGATTCATGATGTCAAGGCACGCTTGACCACGTTTGCACATCGAACCTGCCAGCACATTCTCAGCGTAAAAGGAAACTAAGTTGATGAAATGCAGTGTAACAGAAGTTTTAAAAAACTTGACAAGTCTGACCGTGCGTATGAATGTGTTGAGACGTTTTAAGAGCGATGCAGGGAATGCATACAGACCTTTCAGGGGCATCAGGCGGGCGGCCGCATTGAACCTAATTCAAGGGCTAACGTGCTAAGAGTCTATATGTGGCCTCCGAGATGTGCATCTGAAAATGAATCTCTGAGGGCAGCATTCGTTGTGGCGAAGCACATTCCGTCATTATAATTTGTGTCGAGAGTTGTGAAAGCTGCTCGGCGTCAAAATGACGTTGCAGAAGAAAAACCGGAAACAGGCGGCGTGCTCCAGCCAATCTGGGGAGGCCGAATTAGACATGTTCAATGATTTGTCACCGCAAGAATAGCTCCCCTGGACCAAAGAGTCATTCTAGTATCTTTACTCAGTGCCACTCAAAGATGCTTACTTTGACAACATTTCATTTATGTGATTTTTTGATGAACTAAACACTCGTTCATTCATTGTGGCACATCTGTTAGTAGACGGGGCAAAAGTGTCAGTAGACAAGAAGAGGTGGCCAGCATGGTTGCAATGACTGAAGGGTGCAGAAAAGGGCATGACATAGGCTAGCTAAAATGTGATGAGCGATGCAAGCAAAGCCTGTATGTCACAGTAAAGCTATAAGTGTTGGTGAGTTCAGGCTGTGCAATGCAGCTGCACATCAAAACATGGCTGTTGGGTAACATGTCGAGAATTTGAATTTCAGCCAGGGGAGAATAAACTAAGATTTGAACAGATGCTGTGGAGCTACAAGATGGTGTCAAGCTGTGCATAACTATCCTTCATTGGCTAACAGAAACTGTGGAGCAGGAGCATGCAGTTGAGGACTGTCTGTGGCAGTGGACATGCTTGGTGCCTTTGTGAACGGCATGATTACTCGTCACCACTATACGGTTATGTGACGGTACTTGACAAGGCCCTCTATGTTGTTGTTTCTACATTTATTTGGGAACCTGAAGGGCAAAGCAGATGTTGTGGTGTCTAGCCAGCGACCAGTGAATAAAAGTGCATTCTTTTCACCACTTGTGACTTGAGCCATGCATGATGCTGATGGTGACACATGATGCACAGCTATGAAGATGATGCTACACTAAATGCAGACCACTTATAACGTAATGGCTTATAGTGAAGGACCGGTTACAATGCAGTCTTTTTCAACAACCATTTATTCTCCCATAGAACCACATGTATATGCACATCGCTTATTGTGCAGTCCACCAACATGAAAGACCGGTTATAATGCAGTTGGAAGAAAATCTTTATGACCAACGCGTTAGCGAGTGCACTTCTAAAAGGAGGTGTGCTGGGTACACTGCTGGGGAACGAGCTATGAGGTTGTTATGGAGGAGGAGAGAACGTGAAGTGAACGAAAAAAGGCTGGGGAGAAGAAAAAGAAAAGGAAAAAAGACCGCAGCACGCTGCAGGGGCTTGCTGAGTGAGAAAGGGGGACGGTTGCTTAGGCATGGCGCGAGCGTTGTGAAGAAATTGTCATCGTTATCGAGCTTGATACAGATACCACATTTGCTACCTCGTGTGTAAATTTAAGTTTCACGGCATTATGACACAAGCTTTCGCCTTTGCTGCCAGTGCACCATCATATAAATAATTTTGACAGGATCTTGTCGTCTTTGATCTCCCAGCCGCAAAAGCGAACTTTGTATCATGCCCACTGTTCTTGGTTCAGAGCTTGAGTGCAATCTTTTCGATGCCCGATCTTCATATGTTGAACAAACTTCCCGCGACAACATGCCAAACAATAGCCTACGCCTAATCAGGGTTTGTTATGTTTCAGTAGCGGTCGCATGCAATTTATTTTGCGGTTTGGGAAAGAATCAACTAAACTCTTCGTGGTGGCTGCACTCGAAGGGAAGGGATATATATTGTTATTGAAAACGAGGGTGGTAAATGTAGCACTTGAATGGTGGTTTGTGATTCCATCGACATAACTCCCGCGACTTAAGTTATAAGCGGTCTTACCTTTTGTCTGATGCTACTGCAGGTGATGTGGACCAGACTTGGTACAAACGAAGAAAATTATGCCTACCATTGTGATTTAAACTGCACACGTTACTACATTTAATATTTGCTTGGAAGTTTAAGTGCAAATGGTCAGTGGTCTATCTAGCTGTAGATGTCATGCACATATGGTGATACCACTTAGGCCACATTCAGTATAAGGCATGTTGCATACATCTACTTAAATAAAGCTAGAATTTTATCATTACAGCATTAAACTGATGATTGATGTGTGGGGTTTAACGTCCCAAAACCACCTTATGATTATGAGAGACACCGTAGTGGAGGGCTTTGGAAATTTTGACCACCTGGGGTTCTTTAACGTGCGCCCAAATCTGAGCACACGGGACACAACATTTCCACCTCCATCGGAAATGCCGCCGCCGCAGCCGGGATTCGATCCCGCGACCTGCGGGTTAGCAGCCGAGTACCTTAGCCACTAGACCACCGCGGCAGGGCATTCAACTGATGATCGAGGTTCTAGACAACAATATGAAAATTGATACCTCAAGATCTCACCTGAAACAGCAACATGTCATAGGCACTCTGGTCCACTATAGCCAATTATTCTTTCAACACTTCTTCATTTATTACACTCATTCTTTTCTATATCAGGTAAATATTGGAACTTTTGAAACCCACTATAACTAAAGTATAATGACCAAGAAAGTTTGCTACTCTGATTCAGAATAAATTGCTTACTTTACAAGTAGTCTTGAATGTCATTGTAAAATACTCAATTTCCAACTTTTTTTACTCAGAATAGGAGATTTTCCTAATCTGCACGTGCGCCTCTTGCAATGCAGTTTGTCCTACTAGTATCAATGGCAGCTAGTCTCTTACTGAAAACAAAGTAAACAGCAGTTTAGTTGCGCTACGATGTGGGAAATGTTGACTCTGCCATCCTGATATAGACACAGATAATAGACAAGCCCCAGCATGTGCAACTAAGAGCTCATCTCTACTTGAAGATTAGAGTTTCCTAAAATTAACTAGAGGGGACTCTGGCACTGCGATCGTTCAGCGACCATGGGAATGATAGGTAATACACACATTTGCCTAGTTTTTGTACTTGCGGGTGGCGAATTGTACTTGCGGCTTCATTTATTGCTAGATACGGTTTTGCTTTGAAGGAAAGAACGAACAATTTTAAACTTTGTGACCCGATTCGAATTGGTAAGCCTAAAAGAATAAGGTGGTGAAGTGCAAACGCTGAACATTTGCTCATTTTTTTTTTCCAAGAAAAAACAGCTTCTAGCCACACGAACATGCTAGGAGCCAGAAGCTGTTTTTTTTTTTTTTCAAGAAAAAACAGCTTCTAGCCACACGAACATGCTAGGAGCCAGAAGCTGGCCAGAAGTACGAAAATTAGCCAAATGTGTGTACTACCCATCATTCCCATGCTCACTGAAGCGCTGTGCGTTACAGTTCCCACAGACACTAATGCCAGAGTTCCCTCTAGTGTATATTAGGAAACTCTATGACTTGAAGCACCACCACAGTCACCATTAGTAGGGCGAATATGCATCACAGAGAAGTCCACTTGTGCATTAGGAAAATCTCCTATAGTGAGCCTATTTCACTGACATTGGGGGTCACAACCTGGGTGGCATACCTTAGGAACTCTAATTAGTGGTTCCATCATGTTCAACACATTAAGTATAATAATGGAATGAACCTAACACAGACTTCTAAATTTTGATCACAATGCCGCATTTATTTTGTGTAAGACACATATCACTGCACAATTAGTCTGGCTTGACACCCCCTCCCTGGGCAAATGGGAGGCCTATGTTGCTATGCGGCATGAATTATTACCACAAGTTTTCGGTCCTCAACAAGCCACTGTTAGGCAGGAAATGACTGACCTGAATAGCTGGGTGCTGCACATGCTTGAGATTTGTCATCCAGAATCGCTGCTGCTTCCTGGCTAGCAAAGCTGCCCTGATGACGTTGCTGAAAACCTCGGCCACACCGAAGTTCGTAAGAACACTTGTTTCATAGTATGCAGCACCAATCTCTTTGGCTAGAAGGCGCCCCTGTTCTGGGCGCAATAGGTCGGTCTCCTTGAGTGGCCTGTAGAAAGAAAAGAAGGTAAGTGTAAATTTAAGGGCTTGTTTTTCTTTGTTAAACACAATATTGTTGAGAACTAACAGACAATAATTCCAAGAAATGTACAGGGATGTTATTAGAAGCAACTGTAACGTAAATGTGAAGAAAGAAAAGTGGACAATAAGATAATCTGCCACCAGCAGGATCCAAACCTGCAACCTTTGAATAACATGTCTGATGCTCTACCACTGAGCTACGGTGATGGTCATCCCCCTGTCCACTTTTTATAAGGGGCGTTTAAACCACGACGGTTTAAACGTGCACCGTCAGGCAGCGCCACCTGTTTCCAACAAGTGCAATGTCCACTTTTCTTTGTTCATGTTTATATTTAGTTCTAATAATATCCCGTATACTTTCCTTGGCCTTATTGTCCGTTAGTTCTCATTAATATTCAGTTAAAATAAAAGAGACATAAGAAGTCAGTCTTCTGCAAGCTGTTTATTTAACTCACTGACCTAAGAAAAATATCGCCATTAAAATGCCTTCACTTGATAATTTTACAGTATACTCAAGAGTATGCTCCCTTCTCAGTGTTAAATTAAGCACGAGATGAAATTTTGCATTGAAAAGTAAGTGACCCAGCATGGTGAGCTAGATGTTTCATTATAGTTTATTCTATTGCCACCTTAGAAATTTAAAAATTATTAAAGCAACAGAGGGCTTGATATTGTAAACTCTCCTGCATTGTATCCACAAATAAGAAGTCTTCCTTATTTGTAACTATAAAAAGATGCCATTTACACACTGTGTTTGAGTGTTTGCACTACTGCAGGAATCCTTATTTAATCTAGGACAATGCAAGAATCTGGCATGTGGATTTGTGTGCATTAGATTGATAAACAGTGATGCTGACAAAACAATGAAACCAAATGTGGATCACAGTGCAAAGCTTCATCTAAACAATGCATGCACATACCTTGCTCCAAAGAAAAAATTAAGGAAAACATGCATCTTGCAAATGCTACTCCAAATGCTACTACGGGAAAAATAAAAATAGATTTGCTCGCAGTCAAAATATAGGTGCTCGCAGTCAAAACTTTAAATTTAGGTACACGATAAATTAATGGTTAAAAAAAAACCCTGTGTGTGTGTGTACACGCAAACCTAATTTTAACAAGGTTGCATCTGACATAAAAATAAGTGCATTCGAAAATTCAATATAAAAGTAAATTCCTGACACTATATCTAATGCAAAACTGTTCTTCATTTGTTTCATTATAACTGATATTTCATTATATCTGGGTCCATTATATTAAGGTTTAAGTGTGTGTGTACATGTGTACACAAACACACACACACACACACACATATGCATACATACATACATACACACACACACACACACACACATATATATATATATATATATATATATATATATATATATATATATATATATATATATATATATATATATATATATATATATATATATATATATATAAACTTGGACCAAGTTTCAGTACTGCTATGGACAACAAAATAATTATTTATTTCTTTTGAACAGTTTTGTGATGCAGCCTTGCTCAGGGAATATAGTGAGATTAAAAAACCACTGTAGATGTTTTCCTTTTTGGAATAATAATATACACAAATGCTTGAATTTTTTTGCTACACAAACTTGAACAACTAACAAACTGACTGCTTTTTTCCTTGACTTTTTGAAGGCATTCAACTGTGTCACATACTGTCGCCTTATTTCAAAACTATCAGATTTTAAACTGGAGAGTCTCACTTTATCATGGCTCTGAAACTTTATTTTTTATCGTCACCAATGCACCGTTAAAAACAACTTCTCGTCCTCCTTTAAATGAAGTGTCGTCTGGTGTACCACAAGGTAGCGTCCTCAATCCCTTATTTTTTTTTCATCTTCATTACAATCGCCTACATAACATGTCCTCTACTATAAGAATATTTGCAGATGACTGTATTGTCTATTGCTCAATAGAATATATTAATGACCATTCGGTTCTTCTGCATGACCTCGCACACATTAGAAAGTGGTGCAGTAAATGGCTAATGACAGTGAACACGTAAAAGTGCAAAATTATGTCATTTACTTGGAAAACTACATCTTGACTGCATTCATACAATATTGTCACGGGGTTGTGACGTGGCCGAAGACAAGAAACTTCGTGTTGGGATCTAACTGTTTATTTGGGCGAACCTGTGCCCGGTAAAGGGAAAGTCTAATTACAGCAGCAGTCTTGCACAGATAGCAGTCTCGGACTGATAGCGGCGAACGCAGCGTCGGCCTTCGATCAACAACTGACAAGCGGCGAAGCGTGTCGGCATTTATACCCTTGCCGTCGAATGTTCTAGCGTTATCGCTGGCGGCGGCGTAGGTTCCAGAACAATCTGTACCTTTCGCACAGTGGGCGTGATCTTATCGAAATGATCTACTACAGTCCGGAACCTTCTCGAAACCTGCAGGCGCGGTTTGCTCCGAGAATCGTGTGGTGTTTCAGAACGATAACAAAAACTTGGGAAATGGAACGTGGCATTGCACCCCTCTGAAAAAAAGGCATCGTCCCGATGCTTTAACTAAAGATGAAAGTACAATAATAATGCAAGAAAGTACAATGAATAAATTACAATACAACAATAATACAAAAAACACTGTTTCAGTTTGTTAACGTGCATGAAACGGCTTGAGGCGCGTGACATGGACGACTTAAGGTCGCGATCGGCGTCGTTGAGAGTTCGTGATGCCGTTGGGGACAACCTCGTAATCAAGTGGGCCGAGACGTCGAACCACCTTGTACGGTCCGAAGTACCGTCGCAGAAGCTTTTCACTTAGTCCACGTCGGCGTATCGGCGTCCACACCCAAACACGTTCACCGGGCTGGTATTCCACGAAGCGTCGTCGAAGGTTGTAACGGTGGCTGTCGGTCGGCTGTTGATTCTTGATACGGAGACGCGCAAGTTGTCGGGCTTCTTCGGCGCGTTGAAGGTACTCGCTCACATCGAGGTTTTCTTCGTCGGTGACGTTGGGTAACATGGCATCGAGCGTCGTTGCCGGGCTCCTTCCGTAGACCAATTTGTATGGAGATATCTGCGTCGTCTCCTGCACCGCCGTGTTGTATGCGAAGGTCACATACAGAAGAATGGCATCCCACGTCTTGTGTTCGACATCGACGTACATTGACAGCATGTCGGCGATCGTCTTGTTAAGCCCCTCGGTGAGGCCGTTGGTCTGTGGGTGGTACGCTCTCGTCCGTCGGTGGTTTGTTTGGCTGTATGCCAAGATCGCTTGAGTTAAGTCGGCAGTGAATGCCGCTCCTCTGTCGGTGATAACGACCTCCGGGGCGCCGTGACGTAGGACGATATTTTGGACGAAGAACTTAGCTACCTCGGATGCACTGCCTTTTGGCAGGGCTTTTGTCTCGGCGTAGCGGGTGAGGTAGTCGGTAGCTACCACGATCCACTTGTTTCCGAAAGCCGACGTCGGGAACGGCCCCAGTAGGTCCATACCAATCTGCTGGAAAGGTCGGCAAGGTGGATCAATTGGCTGCAGAAGTCCCGCTGGCCTTGTCGGCGGTGTCTTGTGTCGCTGACAGTCCCGGCATGTCCTCACATAACGAGTGACGTCGGTGGTAAGACGTGGCCAGTAGTACCTTTCTTGTACCCTCGCGAGCGTGCGAGAAACACCGAGGTGCCCTGCCGTCGGATCGTCGTGCAGGGCCTGCAGGAGTTCTGGTCGCAGAGCTGAAGGCACCACAAGGAGGTACTTAGCTCGAAGCGGTGAAAAGTTTTTCTTTTGTAGAAGACCGTTTCGTAGAAAAAACGACGCAAGTGCGCGCTTGAATACCTTCGGGACTTCGGCGGTCCTGCCTTCGAGGTATTCTATTAGGGCCTTAAGTTCCGGGTCGGCCCGCTGTCGTTCTGCGAAGTCGTCGGTAGTTATCGTTCCCAAGAAGTACTCGTCATCCGGGTCGTCGGGTAGCGGTTGGTCGACAGGCGCACGAGAGAGACAGTCGGCGTCAGAGTGTTTTTTGCCGGACTTGTAAATGACAGTAATGTCATACTCTTGAAGTCTCAGGCTCCATCGTGCGAGGCGACCTGAAGGGTCCTTCAAGGTGGCTAGCCAACACAAGGCGTGGTGGTCGCTCACAACTTTGAAGGGCCTGCCATAGAGGTAGGGGCGAAATTTCGACGTAGCCCAGATGATGGCGAGGCACTCCTTTTCTGTTGTGGAATAATTTGCTTCTGCTTTGGATAGCGATTGGCTGGCGTAACTAATAACCCTTTCAAGTCCGTCAGCCCTCTGCACAAGAACGGCGCCAAGACCTACGCTGCTTGCGTCAGTATGTATTTCTGTCTCGGCGAATTCGTCGAAATGGGCAAGCAACGGAGGCGTCTGGAGGCGATGTTTAAGCTCCTGGAAAGCGCGTTCCTGTGGCGTTTCCCACTTGAATTCCACGTCGGCCTTGGTAAGGTTAGTGAGAGGATCGGCTATGCGGGCGAAGTTTTTCACGAACCGCCTATAATAGGCGCACAGGCCCAGAAATCGGCGCACGGCCTTCTTGTCAGTGGGCGGCGGGAAGTCGGCGATGGCGGCTGTTTTCCGTGGATCGGGACGAACTCCAGACTTGCTGATAACGTGCCCCAGAAACAAGAGCTCCTCATACGCAAATCTGCACTTTTGTGGCTTCAGTGTGAGTCCAGACGTCTTGATGGCTTGAAGTACAGCTTCAAGGCGCTGAAGATGCTCGTCGAAACTCGTGGAAAACACGACGACGACGACCAAATACACAAGGCAAGTCTGCCACTTCAATCCTGCCAGTACTGTATCCATAACGCGTTGAAAAGTTGCAGGCGCTGAGCAAAGGCCGAAGGGCATCACCTTAAACTCGAAGAGGCCGTCCGGTGTTATAAACGCCGTCTTCTCTCGGTCTCTTTCGTCGACTTCGATTTGCCAATAGCCAGTCTTGAGGTCTATTGACGAGAAGTACTTGGCGTTA